GGTCTCAACTGAAGGTAGATCTGGGTGTCATCTGCGTAGAAGTGAAAAAGGATGTTAAATTTTCTAAAAATGGAGCCTAAGGGGAGCATGTAAATGGAGAATAAAATAGGACCAAGGATAGATCCTTGGGGAACTCCACATGTGAGGAGTAGAGAAACAGAAGCACATTTGTGAGATCTGTAGATGCACACATTTGTAACAGCAAGCTGGACCTTGGTCTCTTAACTAATGGCAGACTTTCTGAGACGCTGTCAAAACAAAAAACCCTGAGGAGTAGCACTGAGCATGAGTTCTCCTGACTTGCTGACCTGGCGGTTGAATCACCAACAGGTAGAACGCTGTGTTTTTGTTAGCAGAGAAGATCCAGCTAAGTGGGAAATGCAAATCCGGGCTGTTTTAGTTCTGATTTTGATAAGATAATTGATAAACTAAATCTACACTAATCCTCCTTCTTCTTAACTTTTCTAAAACTAAAGATTCTTGCCATAAGCTAAAGTGCCTGTAAGCTGAGTTTAATACCATCTAAAGACWAGTTTACTGTTGTTATTTCTGAGTGTTTGTATTTACAATGATTCAMGTCGGACGCGAGGTGTKTATTGTCAATATTTTCCTCATGAAGTTCTGATTATTAACCATTTGTTTGTACATARGTTAGTTCATTTTTTCTGTAAATAAATATCCTTTATTATAGACGATTGGACTGACTGGGGCTACAAATTATTGTGTGTTTTTCTCACTTTCATTGGAGATGTACTGTATTTAAAAGAACCCATTTTTCCTCATTAAATTGGGAAGTATGTACGGATGGTGGACGTCTCTTACAGGTCACACACTGATGTTGGACAGAAGGCCTGGCTCTCATTCTCTGCTCTAATTCATCCCAAAGGTGTTCTATGGGGTTGAGGTCAGTCCAGTTCATCCACACCAGACCCTGCATCCATGTCTTTATGGACCTTGCTTTGTGCACTGGTGCCCAGTCATGTTGGAAGAGGAAGGGGCCAGTTCCAGCCTGTTCCCACAAAGTTGGGAGAATGGAATTGTCCAGAATGTCTTGTTATGCTGCAGCAGTCAGAGGTCCTTTCACTGGAACTAAGGGGCCAAAGCCCAGCTCCTGAAAAACAACCCCACATAATCCCCCCCTCCACCAAACTTTACACTTGGCACACTGCTGTCAGACAAGTACTGTTCTCCTGGAACCACCAAACCCAAACTCAACCATCAGATTACCAGATGGAGAAGAGTGATTGGTCACGCCAGAGAACAAGCCTCCACTGCTCTAACACAGTGGTTTCCAAACTTTTTACCTTCTGACCCACAAAATATTCATGGCAAAAACTTGTGACCCCAAATATTACCACAAACTTCATTAATAACCCTAAAAAAAAAACACAGGCTTTTTGACAATCTTAACAGCTTGTACACAAATATAAATACTTATTTTTCCTTATTTTGTGTTTTTGTAATTTTAATTTTTCATTGTCATAACAGCTAAAGGTGACATAGATACTTTATTATGGTATAGTATTTAAATACATGCCTGAGAAACACATAATATAGGCCCTTTAAATATGACAATTTAAAGTGTTTATTTATTATTTTTTATTTCCATGATGGCCTCTAGTGACCGAACACATCACTGCTGCTATAAAATACAAGGAATTTCTCTCAAACCCTTCTAGAATGCAAATTGCTCACACTAACGTTCTCCCTGATTCCTCAGACTTTCTGGTTAAATCATTAGATGATGTTTTAAACTCAAATGTATAACATGAAACACTGTAAACACATCAGATGTTACTATAAGTGTTGTGTTTCTACCTGCTTTAACACACCTTCTACAGGTTAAACATCAAAGCGTTTACATTGTCAACTTAGATTCTCACTACAAGAAATCATTTTATCGATCCTTTATACCCACACACATCAGCATCCATAACAACTTTTTGAAGAAACCAGGATATGAATTATTACCATAGACTTGAATAAGATCACTAGACTGAGTCTCGCCCATCCCGTCCACTGGTAGTGTCTGTGACATCATGGAGGAGCAGAAACAGACCAAACAGGACAACAGCTCACAGCAAACATAGAAACTAATAGATAAACAGCAGCTGTTTCACAAATTATCTGTCATGTTTTTAAATTAATAATTATGTTAATTTCATTCAACAATCATGTAAAAC